AACAAAGGAGTATTATCCGTCACTTGAAGAACCTCAAGCCTTGAGGCTGGGGTAATTAGTCATCGCATGGTTATTTTGACTGGAACTATCCATCTAAGACCTTGGCTACAACGGGAGCACGATTTGAAAACAGACAAATCTAGGGAACAAAGAGATATGAACCGCAAAGAATCAGAAAACTAAAAATTACAATAAAATGCGCAACGTTGACACAGTAATACCTGAGGAAACTGTGGGTTTGATTTTCTTAGACTCCCGCAAACTTCGGACAAATAACTAAAAAGATCTACTTACCCATGCTCACCTGGCAAACACTAAATATGTTCCAAAAACACGTCCAATCAATTTAAAAATTGATCTTACAATCTACATTGCCCTTTCAAATTGAGCATGTAAAAGTAAAAGCATACAGTACTGTACTATGAAGTCCATACGGTAAGATACCGCACCCATATCTTGTCAGCTACTATTTACCTAAGACGGCTACAACGGGAAACAGAAAAAGCTAGGGAAACGGGAGAGATCAACTGTACAGAAGGGATGCATTTCGAAGTCACAAAGCCAAAAAATTACAACATAGTTGTCAGTGTTACGGTCCTAAACACACTCGAAATTCGGATGGACAAAGAGCTGTAACTACCTATCTTTACACTAAGAATGTCTTCAAAACAGTCCAACACACGTAAGACAGCGCACGATAATTTAGTCTGGAATTATCAATATGAGACAAGGATAAATTAACTGTGAAGAATCGATACATTTCAAAGTCGCAATTACAATAGGGCGTAAAACAGCATAAGTCCCAAAAAAATATTTTCAGGACTAATGCACGATGGATTTTGCTGAAATCACAATTACACTTAAGATAGAAACACATTTGCAAGTATATAATTTTTTCAGAGGTCAATAAAAATGGACAAAGATTACAATTTTTCAGAAACGTAAATAAAAAGAGGTTTGCTTGAAAGTGGCTTGAGAGGGATCCTTTAAAACTTTCGATCAACAAGGAGTGCTGAAGGCTCTTATGCAATACGTGCCAGTAGAGGGTTAAAGATGAAGTAGACAAACCATACGCATAACAAAAGTGAAAGTATAATCAATCAATAGAAGCCGTCAGGCATTTCGGCTTGTCTGATGGCGTGGATGTATGCCCTATACAAATCCGCTGGTGGCAAATTGTTGAATCACTGCCACCGAGGGGTTCATGAAAATAAGCAGGCTCTGTGGTTTGTAGATCGTATAGCGATAGTTCGGCATGGCAGATATTAGCTATCATAAAATAAGTCGTTCAGTCCAATCGTGAAGACGCAAACTTGTGTGAGAAAGCATTGCTGAAGATTTCCTTATCTGAGTTTGGCTAATGCATGGCGCACATCACAATTCTAGGCGGAGTTTGAGGCAAACGAAGGTCACATTCTGTGTACCATTCTATCTAGAGAAGGTAACCCATATCGAATAACAATCGCCTGTCTAAAAACAACTACCTCTTCAACGGAGTTTCGTCGTTAGGAATACGTGTAGCGACAATTGTGATGAACAAAATAGCAACTATCAAAAGTGGGTCATTTCGTTCATGGAAAATGCAGAGACAGTTAAGCAAACGCAAATAAATCAGCCTTCCTTAGGTTACAGTATTCAAGGTCACTGCTAGCAGAACATAGCTAGACATTCTCTAGTCCCCAGTTTCCCTGGGCATCTTAACCTATTAATAAGCCAATACTAAGGATTAAAAGAATTGATTAGTAGTGTGCTATGATGGAAGGCATCATCATACCAAGATGTCGAAGCTGACTTAAGGACAATGAGTGACAAGGAAATAAACTACTTACAGCCTTAAGGCGGTGCAACCCGAAGAAGACAGGCGTCCACGAGAAATTTAGAAGGAGATTGGCGCCGTAAACAGCTATCGGAATGCGCACATCTTGCTGCCCAGCCTCCTTGAGTACGAGATACGATGCGGTACCCATGCACCCGTAGAGAATACTCCATGCCGGAGCAAATACCCATTCAGGCGGCGCATGGGCAGGTCGCTTTAGACCGTGATACCACTCCATATTACGCTTCACAACCGCAGCACCGAGAAATCCACCAATGTATGGGGTAGCCACACAAGCAGCCAAGGTGCCGTACTGCATGATACTAAAAGAAGGGAAGACAGTCCGTTTATACACTAGGTGTTGATGAATGTAATAGGAAAACAAACAGAGAATTACAGAGGATTGATTTACCTCAATCGGGACCTATATAAGCCTAGATGGAGGTCCCACTAAACACCCCAAAATGTCTCACATTAAAAAATAAGTGAAAAAGGATCAAAAGGGTAGAAAGTTAGGAAGCTGGATGTAGTCCAGGTGACTTCGATTACTGAACTCAACTAGTTTACGGCCACATGTTGGAGACGAACCAAACGAATGATAGAAACAAAATGTGTGCTCGAGCCACACAAGGTATTTTCTGGGCTATAAGGCGCAATTAAAAGCCTTTAATTTTCTCAAGAAACGACAGTGAGCCTTATAACCTGGACTGATTTATCTGACTGTTTTGTTTCCCTTAACGCGCCCTACAGTCCGGTGTGTTTTATATAAGACGTTCGAAA